CTATTGGCTGTGTAATGCTCTTAGCTGATGTTTGAAAAGTGGCCAATGGTTGTGGTATTTTACTCTCGCAAAGCGAAGATTTTGTAGCTGATTGTTCTTTTGCCGACATAGTTTCTGTAGAATAACTCGTACGTTTTTCTTGCTGCAAATTGGATTGCGATAATACGTTTGGCGCATTTGGCGGAGCTGGCGGCAATTTTACTGCCGGTGGCGGTGTTTTAAAAACATTATCTTCCTGTTTTATGTGCAATGAGTACTCCTTAATTGGCGTTGGCGCTTGTACGGTATTAAGTTCGGTAGGTGGCAACAAGGTGGAATTCTTAATCATGCTGATATTTGTGGAGAACATAGCGGTTTCCGCGTTCAACTCGAAGGACTTTTCACCGGAAAGGCGAATACTTAGCGGATTGTGAGGTATACTCGTACGAGGTTTTTGTTCTAGGAAGAGTAATCTATTTGGCGTTTGAGCAGCGCTTGTTTTGGTTTCTATATTGGTGTTAACGTCCGTTAGCATAGGATTTATGAGGTCACTCGCTTTTTTCGAATCATTAAAAAAAGTTAGACGTGTACTGCTCTTTTTTGCGCTCATTCTATTACCAGACGGGCCTTGAAAGCCAGAGAAGTCTTTCATATACGAATCTAAAAACATTAGAGGTTTCACAGATGGTGGTGCTGGCGCTGGTGTTTTCGGCTCGACAGCAAGTTTTTGTAGCTCTTGTGGATGTTTCTTTGCACTTTCCCGTGCTGGGGCTTCCAAAGCCATTGATAAATCTTTGAGGTATGAATCGTTAATGTGTATTGTCGGATTCAGATTTTGTANTAGCTCTTGTGGATGTTTCTTTGCACTTTCCCGTGCTGGGGCTTCCAAAGTCATTGATAAATCTTTGAGGTATGAATCGTTAATGTGTATTGTCGGATTCAGATTTTGTGAAGCTGCGTTACTGTTTGATTTATTTGATTCTGTCTTACATTGTAGCCACAGTTTGCAATTTTCCAAAGGTTGTGACTCTGGAACAAATGAAAAATCATTAATGCGAGAACTTCCTAAGTCTAGTTTGTTGTTTTCTTGTATTCTTTGCTGAGCTATTTCAGGTTTAATTGGGAGAGGTTTTGTTGTTGTCGTTGATGTGACTGTCGAGGTAGAGAGCGAACCGTCTTGCACAAGTTGGTTTTCATGTACAATGGGCTGTGATTCCATAACCAACGAAAAATCCTTCAAAACCGAATTGCGGATCTTTGTTTTCTTGACTTCCTTTTCAGTTTTCTCTTCTTTATTGGAAGAAGAGTTAAATAGTTGTTGCTGTCGTTCAATTTCAAATGGTTGTGACTCCATCACCGTGGAAAAATGCTTAAGGTAGGAGCTACCAAGATCAAATTTAGCTCTTTCTTCGTCGTTTGTTGTGCTTGGCGCCACCATTTTAACAAATTCAATTTCTTTTTGACTTTCCTTTTTGGTGGGCTGTGATTCCATTACTAGCGAAAAGTCTTTGAGAAACGAATTACTTACATTTCCACTTGATTTCGTTGCTTGTATTTCGGTAAGCTTACTTTTGGTAGCAGACCTATGCCACTTATTATCAGATTGTGGTTGTGAGTCCATAATTTCAGAGAAATCTTTCAAGTAGGAATCACTTAAGTCCGATTTTGCCTGCTGCTCCTGTATGTTATTTTGTTCCGCAGCTTTCCTTGCAGCGGATTGATGTAAATCTTGCGATTCCACTCCCAGCTTACGTTTTTCTAAGTTCGTATCAGTAGTTAATATAACATTCGTCGAACACTCTTTCGGTTTTGCATTGGCATTGGCCAGAGTATTTGTCCTGGCAGCAATGGCCTCCGATTGTGGTTGTGACTCCTCAATAAAAGAGAAATCAGGCATAAACGAATCGCGCGCGATTACTCTGTGTACAGCTGGCACTGAAGGCCCCATGGGCTTTTGGGCGCTCTGA